TTACAAATTATATATAATATACATTTTGTTTATAATATATGTATATATATATATATTGTTATATTCCTAATATTTTTATGACATAAAAATTAAAAACATCATAAATTAACATTTTTTTCTTAAAATATATGAAAAATAAAATTTATTTTTGTAATTATAATATTTTTTAATTATAATATTTTTATACAAATTATATATGATATACATTTTGTTTATAATATATGTGTGTATATATATAGTTATATTCCTAATATTTTTATGACATAAAAATAAAAACATCATAAATTAACAAAATTTTCTAAACATATATGAAAAATAAAATTTATTTTTGTAATTATAATATTTTTTTGAAAACGAATTTCAAATCGAATCGAATATGTTCGAATATTCTAAACGAATCGAATACGAATCAAAAAATGAATTCGTTATCGAATCGAATCACGCATCGAATCTTCGAATATTTTAAACGAATCGAATCGAATCTCTGAGTATTCGCTTTGATTCGATTCGTTTACAACCCTACTCCACGGGTCGTTGCCTTTTGAATTCGCCACCCCGAGCTTCCCCATCTTCGCCGTAATTTACACAAGGAAAAACCTCAAAAAAAAAAAAAAAAAAATGCGAAAGAAAATTTGGGGTATTAATGGAAATTTAGAAGAAAAAAGATGATGTATTACGTATCTCACGTGGGGGGTGGGATGTGGTATCCTGAAAAATTGTAATAAAAAATCGGCCTTTAGCCCAATTCAAGGCCTTAGCAATTTGAACCAAACATTGTAATGGGTAGGAAATATTAGGCCATCTCCAACCGAATACCCCATACTCAAACTCATTTTGCAGTACATATCCCATTTTGCAGTAATTCATCTCCAACCGAAAAACCCATTTTCCAACCCATAGGAATATTTTCGAAATATTCCCTTCTACTTCAACTTTTACAATTTTTCAATACTACCCACATATTTTACAAATTTACAAATTAAACTATACTATTATTTTCAATTCAATTTGGACTTTTTGTAATAAACTAATAATAAAGTTATAATCATATACATAATAAAATCGGATAAATAAATAGTCATTAAAAATTAAATTTTAAAAATACAACACACAATAATATTAAAAATTACAACACACAATATTGGTAATGTTGTTGTCTTTAATGTTAGTGTTTTATTTTCTTGTTAAACAAAAATACCATAAATTATATGTGTATTTTATATTATTATTATGAAAAATATAGAATCAAATGATAAATATAATATTTATTATTTTAAAAATTATACTATTTAATTTTTATGAGATAATGATTTTATAGTATTTTACATTAACATTACTATTTTGGTAAATATATAATTAACATTCATTAATTAATCATCATCCTGACTAAAATGCAAAAACAAAAAGAACAAAATGAGATCAACATATAAAAGGACTAAAATGTAAAAGAAAAAAGAGTGAACGCATATTTTGCGTTCAGACGCAAATTTGCGTCTTGGAGGAGGAGAGAGAAGGCAAAATTGCAAATTGTAGCTGAGTTTGTCGTTCTGTTGGAGAAGAATTCACAGCAAAAATTGAGTTTTTGAGTTCGGTTGGAGAAGGTCTTAGAAAATTGAGTGATATCACTCCTAATCACTCTAACAAATCAGGCCCTAAGTATAAGATAAATAAATTAGAAACGGAAAAAGTATATAAATGTAAAAATATTAGAGAAAATTTAAAGTCTTCATTATATATATATATATATATATTGGTACAATCACTAGTGCGTATTCCGTGCGATGCACGAGTAAATAACATTAAATAATAATTATAAATAGGTCTCGAGTTTGAGTCACCTAATGAAAGAAGCGGGGAACCATATCCTATTTTAAAAGAGCAAAAAAAATTCTAAATTAAAGATGTGGGGTTAATAACATGTGATATAATTTACCATCGTATATCAGTTTATTATCAACAATATAAAATTAAATTGTATAAAAGAACATAAAGTTTGCATATTTAAAATATTAAAAACATGTAAGTTTATGTACTATTATTAAAAGATGTGAAGTCACCTACAATCTATATCTATATAAATATAAAAAGGTTTGGCATTTACCTGAAAAAGTAACTATTTTCCCGCCTATATAATTTGTTTTTACTTTAATTAGTAACTAATTTAAGAATTAGCGATAATTGATAATTTTGAATTTCAAAAGTCATTAAAATCTGTATGAGATTCATTACCGACTATTTGAGGCAGTGTTATGTTACAAACGGCAAAAAAAAAGGCAAGGAAATCTGGCCATAATATACACTAAAAAATGGCTAATAAATCTTTATTTTATATTGTTACAAACAGATAAGGAAATAAATAAATAAGATTCAATTAACAAATCAATAAAATCTGTACATTATAAAACCAATTAGTCAAAAAATGCGGCTAATGAATCTTCAATCTTAGTTGTTACAAGAAATAAATAAAATAAGCTTTATCATGAATTATAAATCAATTATAAAAGATTTATATAATCACAATTATAAAATAATATCTCTTCAATGATTTTCAAATTTCCTTTGCATGATCTGCAAAATTATATATCATAGACGTTTTATCATGAAAAACTTAATCACAATTAATTGCAACATGAATTATTACAAAAGAATTTAATTAAATCGTGATTTTGAGATAAATTCTTCAATTATTTACAACAATGGGTTTGCCAATTCTTCAATTATTTACAAAAAGTTTAAAAGTTAGATTATACAAATATTTTAATAAATGTGTAACTAAAATTAATTTGTAAAATCAACCATATCCCTAAATGTTAGTAAATCTGAATATAATTGATGGCCATGTAAAAATAAACAGAATATTGTCTCAAATTGGAGCAAATCATTACTACATATTCCATATAAATTGTAATATTCTATTGAATCAATTTATAATTATTGCCTTTCTTAAGATATTTTCATATCACTTATTTATGGAATTAGACTAAAATATACCTTGGCCTTCTCCTATAAATTCATTGTACATAGTTTGTTTACCAAGCCCTATGGAGGTATTGAAATAGCATACACTGCATCATACATATGTTTAATTTGTCATTGAATTATTTTTATTTTGCAATGTTTTAGTGAAAGTTCATTTGGCGACCGAGAGGAATGTCACCAAGATAATTGTTGGACAATTTGTTCCTGAAATTCGCGAATATGTGACGAGGCTGAGCTTTACTATTACTAATGAATTTGATAAGATTATTTATATGATTGACATATAATCCATATAATCCATTTTTGTACTGTAGGTTTTATGAGGACAACATGGGCAATGTGCAATTGGTATTCAATGGTAGACATGTTGAGAATGACGAAGTTGAAGATCGGCCCAAGTTGATTCTATTTATGAAACTGACGAGGTATAATAAATAAAATCCGATAAACTATATATATTGGCATTGTATTTTCTATATTTTTGTTTGAATATTTTT